TGAAATTATGCTCTCCCATTTCTCCCTTTTTAATTGATCTGTTAACGCTGCCTACCCCACCAAACCGGGTTTGCTGTCATCAGAGGAGCTCTACTTTAAAACCTCTTATGGAATGCAAAGAACACAAATGTGAAGGAGAGAAGCGAGCAGCCCTCAGTGGAAGTTCGTGGCTTTTATTTTAAAATGTTCTTGGGTAGGATTTCTGTGCCTTCATTTGCTCATCTGTGAAGCAGGAATGATGACATCCACATTGAAGGTTTGCCCCAGCAGCGAGAGAGCTAGCAGTGGGGCAGGGGCTGGCCTCATCCCTCAACCTCTCTGGGCATTTATTTTCTTCTGAACAAAATGAGGGAGATGTGTGCTTTGGCAGTGAAACATCTCTCTGGTTGTAAAACAAAATACAAAGCTGGAGCTATTGCTACTGATTTGTAGCACCTTGGGGAAAATTGTAAATAACCTTCCTTGAAAGCTCAGGGAGGAGGAGGAGGACCTACTTAAGTCCAAGCTTCTTATCAAATAGCAGAGCCATAGAATCGATCACAGGCAGCCTGCGATGGCGGCTTTATTTCGTTAGAGACTCCTTATGTGTGTCACTGAATTATAGCATGAAGCAGATGACAGTTGTGCCTCACGAAGGCACATCCTGTTTTCCCCTAAGCCACCTCGGCTCTGGGGTGCCAGGTGGGGACAGCACAGGAGAAGGCCAGAGGAAAAGCAATTCATAAATTACACAGTCTGGAGGCCAACCCTGTCAGACAGCCGCTTTCCTTTTATGGTCATTTTGCCCTTAGGAGAAAAGGGCTGTCCCTGTAGGCTGGCAGGCTAGGAACTGTTCTGGGTTCAACTCAGTGGGCCCTGGCCTCTCCTGCCTCGCAAAGTGACTGCAGCCAAGCTACAGGCTCTCTCCAGCACTGTGAATTCTGACCTCTTCTGTCTTCTCAGCAAACTTACAGAATCTAATTATTCTGCTTCTCCCAGATTTTTAGAGGAATACGTGCCTTGCAAAGTGGGAGTGAGCACAAAGCTAATTTTTAGCCTGAACGAACTTGTAAAACAAAACCAAGAACTTGATCCTGTGGCTGTGGGACCTGTCCGGTCCAAACTTAGGCATAGTGTGGGTGAGACCCTCTTCTGTGCCCTTGGGACCTCCCCCAATCAGCAGTCCCCCCCCGCCCCCCGCCTGCCCAGTGAGTGAGTACTTCTGCCATGTTCTCGGACCCCCAGATCCAGCCCTAGCCCAGGCCCGGTGAGTGTATAAGAGAGCTTCCTCGCTCCTCTATTCCCCTTGTCCCCTTCAGACTCAGCTCAGGCCTGGCAGAGAGGCCTGAGGTGAAACCCTGCAGCTGCAATCCCTGCAAAGAGAGTAGGGACAAAGCCACCCAGCTATCCAGGAGCAGAACTTCTTGCCAGAGGGGCACAACAGGTTCACTCCCAAGGACGGCAGCAGGAAGGAGCTGA